TGTGTTGGTTTTCCAACCAGAATGCAGGTTGCACGGTGAGTCAGTGATAAATAAACGATAATGGTCTTTTGGTGTACGATTTGAAATTCCATGGATTGTACTTACACTTTGCTTTACAGGCTTCTGTTTAATGTTAACTATCACATCTTGGCCAAGATGCATCTTAGAATCGGTGCATTATTGTATCTAGTTAAACGGGTGATGGCAAACAAGAAATACACTAAACTCAGTCATAAATGTTTTCTCCTTCTAGAATGATTTCATCAAACTAAATAAGCTGACTGAGTTTCTGCGTTGGACTTTGACTGTCTGACTGTTTTCAACATAGAACTTTGCACCGATGTGCAGCAGTTCAAGTAGCCACACTACAAGTAGCTTACAAAGCAAGAGAAGAATGTAGAAGAAATGCATATTAGAAACAGTAGACAGAGTTATGAGACAAAGGAATAGTAATAACGAAGAACGATACAGTTTCACTGGAAATTCTAAGTCACAAGGAATGGATACGTCTGTGCCATTGAGAACGATTTTGCGCCATATCACCCATTGTCTCCAGCCTTCATTGGTTTTTACTGTCCTAAAAACCCCAACCAGGAAGTCTACACCTCCCCACGGCGCTGGCTGGCTTAAACTAATTATTGTGGATTTCATTGACTGATGAAGCCATGTTTTGGTTTGACCGCCACTAGCTCTTTTTCAGTCTGACCCTATGTCAGCTAACATTGCTCGTTGTCGAGGAAGGAGATGACTAGGCATACGTAACGCATGTCCAAACCATCTCAGTCGATGTAGCTTCACAGCCTCGTCAATTGATTTCTCCTCCTTACCTAGCACCCGTCGCCTAACCTCAATATTGCTCACCCGATTATACCAGTTCGCACGAGAGGTAGAACGCAGGCACCTATGGTCAAAGACAGCCAGCCGGCCTTTTCATGTCCTCCACTGTCAATGGCCATGTCTCGCTCACAGCCATAAAGGAGGACGGAGCGGACTGCTGAGCAGTACACACACCCTTTGGTCCACAGCCAGTCGGATATCACATCTACGCCAGAGACGGGGTAAACTGGCATATGCGAAACGAGCCTTCTGTATCCGTGCTGAGATTTCGTCGGCGATCAAGCCGTCGGGGCTGATGCAGCTTCACAAATAAGTGAAGTGGTCAACGTGCTCTACCACTTCACTCCCTATTTCTAAGCTAGGAGTCAATGTAGTCCAGTCCTGTAGCATCATCTTACATTTAGGGTGGGGGCGGGGGAATCGCATGCCAAACATTCGTAGATTGCAGCTCAAGGCGTTCAGAAGACTCTGCATTTTGCCACAGTCTTCACCTAGGAGAGAGGACAATATCATCTGCATATTCTAAGTCAACGAGATTATTCCTTGGTAACAAGTCAATTCCTGAGTCTCTGAAGTGAGTTAGGGTGATGCCATTAGTACATCTAAGACGAAATTGAATAGAAATGGGGATAGTGGGCATCCCTGTCGGACATCACTAGTTGTCACCACTTCAGATGACAACTTGTAGGACTTTACACAGAAGTGTACCGGTTCAAGTTGTCACACTTCATGTAGCACACAAAGGTAGGGAGAAAATGAATTCAAAAGAACTACAATGAGTAGAAATGTGCTTGGAAAAGTATGAGGATTTAACTGATATGGAACATCATAAAGAGTGAATGCTTCATCGACATTGAAATCAGTTTTCAGCGGTATAAGCAACACTTTTAAACAATAGATCCTTATCATGTCGAGGATCCCAACCAAGTAGTCTACACATACCTATATGTGGCTGTCTGAAATCAACAGTCAAAGACTTCATAAACTAATGACAGGTTTTGGTGTGATCACTTCTGAATCATCTGTCTCAATTCTATTTCAACAAATCAAATAACTGAAAATGGGTGTATAGAGCAAGAACAACATTTTGTGCAGGATAAGATGATGCCATTATTTATTTTGTTGACTTTCGTCATGTGCATACAGCCTAAATATTTCTTAAGTTTGTGTACAGGAGAATTTTAATATACCTGTAAATGTTACATCATATCAGCTGACAGAAGGTCCCAAACTTAATAAACAGTGCTCAGAAAACCATACTTATAAAGTTTATACCGAGAGAGTTCAATGTGAAACAAAAATAAATCTCTGAGTACAATGGTAAGCCAATCGCGTAATAAAGATAAGAGGTGATTAACATGATGAATAACGAGTAAATTGAGCAACCATGTAGTCTTGACAAATTAGAGATAGTGGAAAATATGCACTAGGACATTAGAAAGAAGAGAACACGAAGTTCAGCAACACAGATATCTTTTCGGTGATTTCATTTTCAAAAGTTGTACAATCGCATTTAGGTACATAGATTTACATAGATACAATTTTTATTTGACTCCAGATAATTAAGAAGGTGAGTAGAAATGTGACAATTATTTTCCAACTTGACATAGATTACGAGAGGCTCAGAAACAAAAAATCACACAGGATTAGAACGAATTACAGATGTGAACAAAATGAGCATGGAAACAAATTGAAATAATAATTTTCCACTTGAAATATAAGTTAGGAGATGTGAATATAGATTACAAGAGGCTTAGAAAGCGAAAATTACACAGGACTAGAATATGATTGTAAAAACAGTTATTTTAAACGAATTACAAAGGTGAGCAGGAAGAGCATGGAGGAAAACTTAAAATAGCTGTTCTTTTAACTGAAAACATGGGATTAATTGAAGGAAGACAAAGAGGGAGAAATACGCACATAATTAGCGTTAAACTTTTCAGAACTTACTAGGAAGCCATCAAACAGTTTCTCCTTTGTCAAGGATTTCGACAGAACTCTATAATAATTTGGTTCTCACTTTTGAAATCAGAGATTTTTTTTGATTCAGTATACAATTTAATGATACGTTGAAGATTTTTGAGAAAGGGCGGTAGCTTGCAATTTATGTAGTGAGTTAATGAGTTGGCGAAGAAAGCAATGAGACTGTAAACATCCATCGGAGAACTTCAACCGAGAATTTTTATCTCTGGATTTTCTGCAACAAACTGTTACCGAGCGATTCAGTGATCTGAAAGACTCTGTGGGGGAGGGGGATTTTTCAGAAGTCTGGAGCCTCCTGTCATCTGACATCATGTAACATTTGCAAGTATGTTAAAACTGTTCTGTACACATACTTAGTGATTTCTTTAGGCTATACACAGGTGATGAGAAACCAACGAAACAAATCATGAAACATTCTCTCCTGCACAATCCACTATTGTCCCTGCTTTATTCACATTCACAAAGGGGAATAAGCGTATGAAGAAAATAAATAACTAATGTATCTCCATTTCTTTAACACTACATGAATAATCCGGTATATAACTTTATATGAAAGGTGATAAAGAAGCCGGGAAATTTTAGTAAAAGGCTGACGCATACGCTGAATAGCAATAAAAAGCGCTAAGCAACAGTAAACAAGCTCTGTTTGCTAAGCCAGCTAACCAAATATTTTTCAAAAATTATTTTATTCCTTTACATTCCAAGTGGAACATAGGACTTCAAGCTACAGGTTTGAAGTTTTGGTAGCGATGGTGTTTTTTTTTACGGGATGGGCATTCCTAGTCTAATGCCCAAGCTTCCCTCTTTGCCGGTCTCATTGCCAGTTTAGCGAGGTTCACAAGTGCGTCGGTGGCCGCGGATGGAATCCCGGACCACATATGTCATGGTTGGCGGTCATTCTACCGTTGAACCACCAACGCCCTAGCTGACTAACTGGATGTACTTACATATGTTACAATGTATGTTAGAGGTATGTTTCAGAAAATATACCTGCTTACGGCTTTCATTTCACTAAGTACCTTAACCCACTTCGTTGAGGTCATTTTGAAATGTTTTACAGTGCTTAATTGTGTCCTTACAAAGTATTCGTGATCACATGTACATGTAAACGGATATATATAATAACAAAGCTAGTATTCTCTAACTAATTGATACCGATTTGGAAACATTTATTTCCTGATATGAATTTAAAACAAGCCATAAATCCCGTTTAAAGAATCGACCCCCGGAAAGTGCTATCAACGCACTAAATCATATGGATTTGTAAGTGTTAAAGTATATTTGTTATTAAATGATACTGTGAAGTGTTATTTGTATATCTAATGGGTTAGAGTGAATAGTTGTTCCAATAATACTCACTAGAACTAAGAAGAACAGAATCTATAGCTGTTCGAATACTTTTAGTTTACCATGTTTATACTCTATATAGACAGTTCTGGTGGTTCGTTGTTTTAGCTGGCTAACTGAGTGACTGATTGACTAAGTCTCAACACAGAACCTTACACAGAAGTGTAATAATTCAAGTTGCCACACACCATACAGCATATAGGTTGAAAAAATAGATTCAAAAGAACCATAATAAGCAGAGATGTGAGGGAGAAACAAGAGTAACACTTGAAAAACATGAGGGTTTAATGGGTATAGGAGATGAAAAAGAGTGGATGCATCTATGCCACTGACGACGATTTTGAGCTATATCGCCAATAGTCTCCAGACACTGGATCCTAGCAACACGAGGACATCTATGTGACTGGTTGAAACGAACTGTGAAAGACTGCATGAAATTGATGCAGTCTTTCTGTCCGACCATTTTTAACACTCTTTCAGCCTAATTCCCAGCCATTTATTCTCAGCATCGTGAAAACTCTAACAAAGCATTCTACATATCTTTACATGGATGGCACAAACTAACTGTCCAAGACTTCAGGGACTGACTCTTTTTTTAATGTGACCATCCTTAACTCTTTTCCAACCAAATCCTATGTCCGCTAGCATTGTTTGTGGAGTAGAGTTGCTGTTCGGCACACGCGATACGTGTCCTAGCTATCTCAGTCGATACAGCTTTGCAACTTGTTGGATTGACTTAACCTTCGTACCTAACACTATACTTCTAACCACAACATGATAAGGAGTACTGAGAATGGGAGTAGAGTGTTAAGTAAGAAGTGTAAGTCACAGTCGATAAGGTTGCGAGGCTAAATTGCGATCAAATGTTGTCGCCTGAAGAGAGTTTTTGTTTTACCCATGGCAGGATATTCATTTTCCCATACTCCAAACAACCGGTTCAGCACAGAAGAAGTCTATTCTGATTTGATATACAAATATATCTCTTTTGAAGTAATGAGAAAAAAATACTCATTTGGAAATCATTTATTTGAGTATTACACAGGATACATTTCAACATGTGTTAAGTTATAAAAAAAATATTTATATCAATAAGTAAAAATAAATTATTACGTGAAAAAAGAAAAGTTTTAGAAGTGAAATAATAATTTCTACATTTTGTGCTCTATGATGTATATAATAAATATACATTTGTATATGAAAAGAGAATATACACAGAGCTAAGGAAGATAGTGAAACTAAATTTTATCCCTTTACTCAGCTGAATGTTTACTCTCCAATTCATTCAACACCCTTTCAACCTAATACAAATGTAAACGATATGAATAAAGAAACAACTCGACAAAATTGAACTTACATCTCTAAATATTTTAAATCGACTACTGAACATTGGATTAAATTTCATAAAACGTTTAGGCCCCAGTATATGCAGATGCAAATGATGCACGCTATTGAATGGTGGCCAATGGAATCCAAATCTGCATTTTATTCACATCTAGTTTATTCCCTATGGTTAAACAAAACTTACAGAAAATCTTCAGGATTTAAATGAAGTTGACTAGTGACAAGCTGTTGTCCACAGTTTACCATTTCCCTAACTAATTTTATTCAAGGTGAGAGAAAAAATTGTTGTAAAATAATGCAACACAATCTACCTAATGGTATATCTTTATGCGTTAATTTTTTAGGATCTCTTATATGCATTTTAGGAACACATTGAAAATGATATCGAGCTTTAGGCGAACGATCATTGAATATGACTACATTGTCAGTCTGCAAAATAAATTATAATTGTTATACACTTACCTCTGAAAGAATCGGTTGATCAGTTTTCCCAGAGGCAATAGAACAGAAGACACAATCACTTTTTATTTGTAACATTGAGCGCTTTTTATCTGTCATGTACAAAATGGAAGCGTAAATTATTTTAGTGACATTTTAAGAATCATATCTGAACATGTAGCGGTAAATAATTCCCTAAAATTATCAGTCTACATACAATATTCTTCAATCAAAATTGAATTCTCACTTTCATTGTTTAGGTCAGCTTGTTAGGCTTAAGTTACACGATAAAGCATCCTGGCGATTTGGCACGCTGTCACATTCAGTTATTCGTGCACGAACCCTATCTATTTAAGCTGGTGTTTTATTGTTTTGATTTATTTTCGGTATCAGCAAAATAAGTACTTCGAGAGTTACAGAACAAGAATATTTGCACTTATAAACAGAGTATCTTGCATAGCTGTGGACATCCTTTATCTCTTGAAGATATTTATCATTTAGTAGCAGAGCAGAATTGGAACTTGTTACGCAACTTTAGAGTTATAAACTGACGATTTACAAATACATGAGCATAAGTGCGTTTTATTCAAAATCTTGGCAGGTATAACTTTAAACCAAAAACTTATAAGTCATATGTCTGTGCAAACAACTTGAGTACTTTTCAAATATACCATCCGCTACTGGAGGGTACAAACCTTTTATGAATTAGCTATTTGATTTCATTCATTCCACTAGAGGAATATGAACACTAAACTTACATCTTGATGTCTAAACACATCATATTGAAGAAATAATGCCAGTAAATTCCGAACTAACACATTTTTCTTGTGGTGGATATATAATGAAAAGTTGCTGAATTGGCACAACCCTACACACAAAACAGCACTCTGTACTTTTTTTCTGCATGGGCTAAATAGCCCATTTGTAGTTTATGAAAAAAGCAAAGGTAAAACATAAATGCAATGGAAATATAATGGATGAATGTGTGCCGTAGGTAAACTAGGTTATTAAAGAATAGTGACGACGTTCCGATTTCTGTGGTAAAAGCAAACGCAACTGATTAGTTGAAAACGGTCCAAACTTGTATCATCCCAGTCGGTTACTTTTTTTGGACCTGGGATATGTGCGTAAAAACGTGGCAGTTTCCCGCTCAAATTTGGGCAAAGTGGGAAAAGGTGGGCTGTTTTCGTTTGTAACATGGGTGAAATGGGAATAAATGGGCTATTTCCTAAAATGGCATGGGCAAAGTGGGAAAACGTGGGCAACTATTTTCTGGACACGTGCGGATTTCGTTTTGGTAGCGCAAACATACTTACATCTGAAATGCATGAGGCAAGGCACATTTCAGTCTGAATATTATACAATCTGTGTTTAATCATTGAGAAGTTGCATGAAGACAGTCTGACTATTTTATTCCAATCATTATGACACCTCTTTTTAGGTGAAGGTTTACTTATGAAGCCGCAATTTCAAATTCATTCTCGTGCACTCCTAACCTGGTAAGTTAAGTGTTGATAGTGTAATGCCTACTTTAAGCTAATAAAATTGATACTGAAAGTGAAGTAGTACCAAGTGTGATTGATGTGAATCCCCATAGACGCCTCAGAAGTACTTTATTCCTTTTAATATAGCATTGTGCTTCAGTTTGGTTTGAAAAAGAGACATGTCACCGACCCACAGTGTGTAGAAGAAATAAGTTGCAGTTGCTTGGTGACGTTGCCAAGATAATATTTCCCGATTTCAGCGACGAGGCTGGTGAATGTCTTGTAGATGAAACCACTTGTAGAGTCGAAAACGTGCGAACTGACATGCAAATCACTTTACCAAGTAGGTTTCTTAGCTTTTCATGTGATGATTGATAAGATGATGCCGCGGGCGCTCCGTCGTCCTATGAGAAATTTTCCAATAAGGCAAAAGAATGCAATTCAAAGGCAGAACTTAGGGCAATATCCTTAAAGGTTATGCTGACCACTAACACTTCCAGATGACTTGCAAAGCACAAGGCATTACAAAGAACCTACAGCACTACCATGATATAGGGTCAGGCTGGAAAAGAGCTAGCGGCGGTCAAACGAAAACATGGCACCAATCAATGAAATCCACAACAGTTAATCTGAGCCACGTAGGAAGATGTAGACTTCCTGGTTGGGGCCCGCGGGATGGTAAAAACCAATGGTTGGAAACAATTGGTGACATGGCTCAAAATCGTTCTCAGTGGCGCAGATGCATCCACTCCTTGTGACTTATCATTTCCAATTAAACTTTTGTTCTCCGTTATTACTATTCCTTTGTCTCACACCTCTGTTTACTGTCTATATTATGCATTTCTTCTACTTTCTTCTCTTGCTTTGCGTGCTACATAGATTGTGGCGACTTGAACTGCCGCACATATGTGCAAAGTTCTATGTCGAAAACCGACCGACCGACCGACAGCACTACCAATTGCAGTCAGTCCTCAAAATCTAATGTAGTCTGCACACAAAAGCGTCATTACAGATGTGTGTCAACGTTATTCAACCTGGGCCCAGCCAATCAATGTCCTCAGAGTAACTTAGGAGGTCATTTTTGGAATCTATTATCTGGTTACTGTCTTTCTTAACCGACATTTCACAGTGTAAAATATAAAGTTCCCTAACCCCGTTGGCCTTGTTTTATATCAGTGGCATAAGCAATGAATGAAGTGAAAGATTCGTAAGGCAGTAGTCGCTGAGCTCGTAAATGTGGTAAATTCGATTGCAGTAGTAACTATAAAGAACGTTGCAGTTTTTGCAACAACAACGGTGACTCTTTCTGTAGGTGTTAAAAGGATAACAGTATTCCAACTGGATAGCAGTCAATGCATTGTTACTTGGTAACGTGCGGAAACAATCTAAGCCTGCTAATTTTTGTCGAAACTAATGTGTAATTAAACGAATATCTCAGCACGACAACACATACCATCGTAAACCATTACCAGTCGTCACTCAAGGTCCTTGGGTGACCTTCCAATATCCAATATCGTTTTTACGAGCTAGTATAAACCAATTTGATTTCTGTGCGCTCGCCTCTTGATTGTGAGGTAGAGGATCCTGATCTTTGGTAAACGTCTGTGTAGCTCGTCCCGCCACTCGACTGTCGTAGCTTTGGTTGACTCCAACAGGAGTAGTGCTGGGATTAATTATATGGCGTCTGTAGTATGAAGTGTGTTAAGACTGTTACTACTGTGAATGGAGTTGATCCTTTCACCAGTTAGTCTTTCGGTATCGTCGTCAATGGAAAAGAGATAATAATAATAATACTAATAGATAGAATTAGTAAAGGTATTCAGACTAACAGACAGAGAAAAAATAAGAAAACGTAACAACAGTCAGTCAACCGGTATACATATATATATATATACCAGTAATAATAATAATAAGTGTAGTTAAAGCTGTCAGGAGAGTAAGACTGAAGGGAATGTGAAGAAGTAAAACGACCAGTTTAATTGTCTACCTTTGAATGGTATATGCGATTTTAAGGGGATAGGCCATTTGGATGAAGTCCTTGTGTCGCTGCATGGTTGTCCAACCTTCGCTTAAAGGCGTCCACAGATGGTGCCATAGCTACATCTGCCGGTAAGGAAGTCCAGGGACGGCAAACCCGCAGGGAAAAGAAGTGGGAGCGCACCCGGGTCCTTGCCCTCTGATGAGCTATCCTTCTAGGATTTCCACGAGGGAGCCTATACCTACTCAATGGCAGAT